GGCGGAAGCGGGAGCGTTGTCATCCGGAGGTGTGTGTGTGTTTTTGTGTGTGTGTGGTATGGCCAGTACACGACTGTCTCCTTCGTTCGGTTATCCGTGGCACTATCCACTCGCCATAGTGTGGCAGCTAAAATCCACGTCTGCACTATCGAGCGTGTATGAACTGTGATTACTTTTTAAATTGCTGATTAGCTATTGGCCATTTCCCTCTCTGACTGAAGGCAGTCGACCAATCGCGACAGACTGTCATCGGTCCAATCAGCGCAGATTAGCTCCGCGCTAAGGAGGGGTTTGGGAACAAATGAATCACTGGACGATTCATACAGGAGTCGCTGGGATAATTAGGTAAAAATAAATGCAGATTATAAGACCATGAAAGTGTTTTTTGACCTTGCATGCATATTAGACTGTTGTTGGAGACCCTTACAACCAGGATATGACCCTATTTCATGTATAATATGGGCTCTTTAATATTTCAAGAAAACGTCAAAACTCATGTGTCCATGCAGTTATTTAAGCCACGCCCACATTTCACCATCCAATCAACAACAACGAAACATTTTATTGTGTAAAAGCTTCATCATTTCCCCCATTGGATAACCAATCGGTTCAGACGATTTTCTCTAAACAACAGTGTAATACATGCAGCAAGACTACATTACCCATGATGCTGCACAGAAAACCCACCAATCAGAGACTCCGAATAAAACAGATCCTTAGCTCCACCCACTCCTAGAAGCCCTGTAAATGATCAAATCAACACTCGGTGTATGTAAATATATATGTTGCACTGAATTTGAAGTGTGACGCTTCTATAAAATAATCAACTATAAATCAGTATTCCTCAGGTCTTCTTAATGTGCTTTGTGGGATTGTAGTTTTCCCCTCAGTAAAGCACAACCGTTGTCTTTTTGTCTGATGTTCATCTACTTCTGTGCTTTAAATAAGTAGTCTGGTGATGTTTGCTTTAGTTTATTGATTATAACATTTTATAAACTGCTTCTTTTTTGGAAAGGCTTTTGATGCACTCGGTACAAAAGTGAGGATCTGTTGGTTTCATTGCACTTTTAATCAGAGTATAAATCACCAAAACTACTATAATGCCATTTTATGCAACCTGATTGTCAATATGAACGTTTAATCTGGCTCTCTCCATCTTTGTAGTGCGTCCAAAACCACATACTTCCCTAATATGCAGTATGTGAAAAACAGTATGCAAGTCCAGTAGTACATCTAAATTCATAGTTTGGTAAAAAAAAGTACTTTAGAAGTACACGGATGGCACTACTATACGTGACATTTATAAATGATAGTAAAACGACGCAACTGTTGCGCACAGGTCATGTGATAATGATGAAATGATAACAACAACAGGTTAAAACACTGTTCAAATAAGTGACGAGTCAAGTGCCGAATGAATCAGAGCACGATAACAAAAAACTAAACGAATGAAAGCAAGTTAATAACGCAAGTAGGCCCACACGAATATGCACGCACAGATTTCCGCAGATTTTAAAGCTGATCAATGCATCTATTTATTCACTTGCGTAAATGTGCATAAGTATATATTTATTCAGATTTTATAATAATTTCAATAATTTTATTACTAATATGCAAATGTTTATATAATACAGTTTGTATAGTAATATTTTCTGTCATTTAGTAGCTGTATTATACGAGAGACTTCGTTTACAAAACAAATGCCTTTGCGTAGTAATTAATAAAATAATAGTCATTATATTTATTTCATGTTTTATGTTTTTAGTTGCGATACTTCCACAATTATTCTGCATAAATCTGCAAATTTCTCGTCAAAATTTTGCGCAGAAATAACAGTTTTCATGAATGTTCGTAAAAGATATGGATTATCAGACATATTTGCACTAGCGAATGCTTCATGGCGCGCATGAAGATGTGATAAAAGCACTAGTTTCCCATTGTTAAATATGAACGCTGCATATTACAGTCGTGTTGATCTGCGCAGCTGCTTTATTTACATCGGTAACCATGGAAACACTACATCACTGCTGTTCACCAGCACCATCTGCTGGCAGAGAGTGAGTCTGCAGCTGCTGTTTCCTTCCCATTTTATATATTAGAACAGTTTCACTAAACTACAAGTGAAAACATTCTGTTATTGCTTCAGATTGTGTAATTATACAGTCTAATCTACATTAACAACTGCTCATGCTGCATCTTAGCTTCATATATAGTGTATTTAAATGGAAAGAGTCTGACTGTGTTCATGTGAGGAGATTTATTTTATTTGTGTAGCGTATTTGAGGGTTTGGGGTTTGTTTTTAAATAAACGTACAGCAATAGTCTAATAAAAGACCAGCTTTTTATTCACTATGCAATTCTATTTTATTATAAAAACTGAATCTTTGTATAAAAACTGTATCATGAAATTAAAATCGTGAATATGATTGAATTGTCGAGTGAATTGTTACATCCCTACATCAGGGTGGACGTGGCACATCCCGATGCTATTCACACTATATAGGACACACTTTATTAAGAGTCTTTAAGTGTATTTAAGCATGTTCAAATTGAAACGCAGCACGAGTGTATGTGATTTCGGACGCAGTGTGTTACACATTCAGGAGATCACGCAGGAATTTTCTGCCTTTGCAGGTTTTCGAGGCGGAGGTGAATACACGGAAGCAGATCGAGATAGATGAACATAGGAGGAGGTGTTGGGGGAGGAGTTAAAGGGGGAGGAGTTAGTAGTGGAGGCGGAGTTTGAGTAAGCAAAGGAGGTCGAGTTATATGAAGAGGCGGTGTTGGGGGAAGAGTTAAAGGGGGAGGAGTTAACCCAGGAGGAGGTGTTTGAGGAGGCAACATGGGAGGATTTAACAGAGGAGGAGGTGTTTGATGAGGTAAAGTGGGAGGAGTTATACGAGGGCGTGGTCCTGATGCTGGCGGGAACCGCTCTTGTTGTGGTCACCGCTGGCCGTACAGCAGGAGATGCCCACTCGCTGGAGTCTCTGTACTGGATTAAATACTCCGGGTAGATCTGGTGCTTCTCGAACACCACGAATATAGACGGGTCGCAGACGTCATTCACACAGCTGTCATAGAAGACGGTGTCTCCTCCATCTTTGGACGGAGGCCGCAGGTAGCTGGAGTCTCCTTTGGTGTAGTCGCCCACCAGGATGCGGCAGACGAACATGGAGCGCGTGCCCGAGTTGTTGGTGTAGCTGTGAGAATATTTGGCATCCCTGGCAAAATAACTGCCTGCAGAAAGACATCAGTCATGAGTTCAGCTCATAGTCTGGTCCTAATATTGTCATAATGATGTAGTGGGGCTGTTAAAAATATAGACTACACTACTGATCAGTACTAATATGAGAAAACTGTCCGCTTGAGTATGTTCATAACACCTTCAAAGTCACCACACAGACATGAAAATGACATGTTTAACCTTGATGATTGCCAATCTTGGATACTTTGGTGCACAGATTTAAAGCAGACCCTATACTGCCTCTTTCTAAAGGATTAAATAAGTCTCTGATGAGTGTGTAGTGGAGTTTGAGCTGAGAACAGCACACAGATGATGAAGCTAAGCCTTTCAGGCTTTGATCCTTATTGTGGCGTTTTGGTGACTGTCACTTTAAATTCAAATGAGGTTTTAAAAAGAGGGCGGAGCTATAAGCGCCTGTGTGTCAGCATAATGGCAGATTACAAACTCTAATATCGGACGGCTGCTTCTCACTCAGGGCTCTTTATGCTAATGAGATAGAGATGGTCACTAGTGGGCGGGGCTTTGATGACACGTACAAAGGGAGAATGTCAATCAAAGTGTTTCTGCAGACCGTTTATATCAAGTCTGATTACAACAAATGAAACCAATTCATTAGTGAGATGGAGATATTCACACACCGCTGACACACAACTGGGTTTAAACCCCTTATAAATATCATTTGTTTGCATAATATCTCCCTTTTACGACTTTTTAAGACACCCTGAATGTCAATATTATCATTAAATAATGCTGACCGCACACCCCTAGTCTCATGCAGCCTTATTAGTTACGCTATTCTCCGAGCTTCACCTTTCCCGTAGGCGGTCCCGTTGACTCCACAGATCCTCCAGTCAAAGTTGTTCAGGCAGATTGTGTCCACGAATTTGGAGTCGGTGCCGTGGAAGAGCTGCTTCTCGGACACATCTCTGCCTCTGCTGTTCTTCTTCATGCAGTCCTTCTGCCTGCAGGACACGCAAACACATGGAAACCATCATCTTATGCAGATAAATCGGTGCTCATTCATGTGGAAGTCATACAGTGTAAATTACCAGAGAGAATTGCAGATGTGTCGCCTATGAAATATTTGGCATGCTACACTGTAAAAACGGCTTCTTCTTTAGACGTTTAGTCTTATTTCTGGTCTGAATATCTACAAACTCTTAAATCAAGAAGCATTTTATAGACAAGCAACACATCTAGTCTTGTTTTCAGAAATAATGAACTAAAATTAAGCAATTGTTGTCATTAAAACGAGCAAAATAATCTGCCAATAAGGGAAGAAATATAATCGTATGTCAAAGAGAAAAACAAGACTACTATTTTAGGATTATTCACAGTGTAGCTCCTCCCCTTTTTAAAAATCAGCCAATAGCGTGCTGTTTTTACTCCCAGCTCTGCCAACGAGAGGTTAAGCTCAAGCACATCAAATGAACAGCCAATGATAAAAAAGGGGCGGGGCATTCCAGACACTAGAGAGCATCTGATTGGTCAGAAGATCTACTATAAGACAACATCAAAATAAAGCATTCATGATTTAGAAGGAAGAGAAAAACTGCATGATTAAGACGTTTATATCAGGTTTATTTCATCCTAATGGGAATTTGAGCACACTAGATTATATATATCCTTAAAACTAACATTTATATCCCTTTATTTTGAGTTCACGATGACTTTAAACATGACAGAAATGTGAATGGTGTGTTGAGATGATTGACAGGACACGGAACTATGCAACAGGACACTGTTACGCTCCTGTTACGCAGTCAAAATGTCTTCAAAGCAGGTGCACACAACTTTCAGGATGTTATATAAGTCAGTGCTGTGATGGACTCACCACTGGAACACCTCCCACAATGCTTTGTTCTGGATCCTCTCGATATTCTGGATGGTGAATCCCCGCATGGTGCGGTTGAACAGCTCCTGTATTTTGATGAATTCGGCTGTGGTTTTTGTCAGCTGCACTCTCTGCGTCAACACACATATAGAGTTATATACCAAACTCATCACTATATATATATATATATATCACTCATAACCTGCACATCTGATTGTTTGTGACTGTATATTTGCATTTACACTGCACACGTTGGCATTGATAGACAGCTGTGATAATGAAAGAGCGCTCTCTTCTCTGCTCCTGTCTTTAATCTGCTGATTGGCTGTCAGTGTTTTACTGGATTCTAATTGGCTGTCAGTGTTTCATTCTTCCTCAGCTGGTAAACACTGTCACACATTATTACACCTATATCTTTATAGTGATGGTGTTTGTTGTGAACGAGAGTCTTTATAGTCCTCAAACCTTGCATCCCGTTTCAGGAGTCAGCGCTTTGTCCCAGTGCTCCGGCAGAGTCTTGAAGCTGATTGGTGCTCGTTTCCTGAGAGCACAGGAGGAGATATCAGAGATTAATCAGCATTCAGAGAGTCTGACAGAGAGAAGGAGTGTGCAGTCATCCTCACGTGCTCTTGATCGTCTTCACATCTGCGGCGGAGACGAATTTGGGGCGGCGTCTGATCACTTTTTTGGTTTTGTACTGCTTGTTTGTTTGGATCATGTCTGAGGAGAAGGACAGATTCACTATATATTAGTCCTGAACACCAGGCCTGTGCAATATGATGATATATGTGTCGTGTGGATGAATTAAAGAGTCTGCCGTTTGATATTACGCTGTAGTGTTTATGCACTTTATATTAAGATGCAGTCCTGTACAGGTGTCCAATTTAGATAGACCATTCATTCAGGTGAACGGACAGATCTGGCTATATATACATGCTATATATCACTATCCGGATATGAGATTATTGGAGGATTTTTGGAGGACAGTAAGTGTGCCAGTGTGATGATGAGATGTGTGTGTTTACCCTGGAAGCTGAGCGTGTACGTCTGTGACCCGGCGCTGAACTCCAGCACTGCGCTCTGGTCCGCCTGATATTTCTGCTCCAGCTCTGCACTGGTGATGGAGGATATCTTATGGCCGCCGTCCGCGCTGGCGTACTGGATCCAGTTTCCAAACTCGTCCTCCCAGAACCAGAGCCACTCGGTGGTCAGGATGAAGGAGGGCTGGAGGACAGAGGACACCGTGGAGAGACGCCGCACCGCCACACAGCCCTGCGTCATGGTGTCGAAACACACCGGGAACCGCCCAGAGCTTGCAGGAGCACAGAAACCACACTCATTCACTCACTGCTGAATGCACATCTACAGTGATGATGTTCATTTATATTAAAACAATGCAAAACAAGACTGAAGTTGTGCTGTAAGTTGACATAACTATACGTTGTTGCACGCAGTTCCCCAATATGAGGATAAACAGAGCTGCACTGCATATATAATATTTTATTACTTAAACACACGCAGGCATATATATATATATAAATATAAAGAGAGATTTTAGTAAACTAAATTAAAGCAAAATGCAAATAAAATAATATTATTATTAAATATACAATACGACAGAATAAGTAAAAGTCAATAAATTTAATGAAAATAATAAATATAGAATGCATTTTAGTGAATTTAGAGGAAAATGCGCCCTCCTGTGGTAAAATTCGAAAATGACAGAAAATAAAATACTGAACAGCATTAAACACAAAATTGACAGAAAAATGATACAATATATAATATAATATAATATTATTAAATATAAAATAATTTAATATAAGATAATAAATATAATATAATACAATATAATAAAAAATATAATATAATAAAAATACAATAATATAATATAATATAATACAATATAATATAATATAATACAATATAATTTAATATAATACAATACAATATTATATAATATAATATAAAATAGTACAATATAATATAATATAATATAATACAATATAATATAATATAATATAAAAAAGTGAAATACAGTTAATCAAATACTGTACAGCATTACATACAAAAAACTG